TGGTCAAGAAAGTTACTCCCTCGGCGAGGAGCACCGAACCCGTTAGAAGACCTACCCAAGGAGGGAGCATCCCCAGTCATGTGAATATTACATTAGGGAACATGGAACATGTTGGCAGGCCTTTCCGAGAACGGCGCGTTCCCAGTTATTTCAATGACTTTCTTTTGAGCAAGGACGTTTCTAAGAAACTGTGTTTAACTAAGTTCCATTGTGAGCCTAGCTTGATTTCTTACTACTGCCGTTGCATTGTTTCCTGTTATACATTCATGCCTTTGGTATGGAGGTATATTGTATATTGCATTGCGTACTTAGAGTGTAGTGCGCAGGTCGGAAAGACGTGTTCGCCCGCTATAAAGAATAGAGTTGTGTTGTGCTAAATGCTTTGGGTTATTGCCTTGTGTTACAATTTTCAGTTATTACCGATTCTCTCGAAAATTCATCGATATTCAGCCAAGCGAAGTATGCAGTGCTTTGTTTCACCATAAGGCCTACCTAACTTGAGAATATGAGCCGATTCGATTTTTTGGCTGTTGCCACCAAATGTTTGACCATTGGTAGCTTTTATAGTTTTTTAAGCATCGTCTAGTTACCACCTCAATTTCACTACTAATTAGGCGGCGTGTGCGCGATTGTTTGCGGAGCCGGAGCTTAGCATACATTGATATTCCCGCGGGAAGTTCAAAATAGGTCACCTGTATTCTCGTGGGAGTCTCCAAAGGACAAATTTGGAGAGAGCACTACAATGCTTAGCAAACCTTTTCGAAACTCGCGTTTTGCGACTACTTCCAAAGTTTGAAATCCCTTGAAAATTTCTATGACGCTTTCTAGAATGTCAAATAAAAATAACCGTATGGTAAAAGAGAAATCTAGCAATTGAGTGAAGATAAATTACGCCTGAAAGTGCGCTGAGATCGACTTCTCATACAGGCAGGATGCTAACATAGTCAATTTTCATAGCAAATTTGCGACCTCTTCTAAAAGCGCAAGAGCAAAGTGAGAATGATACACTGTTAAATTAAACTTTCTTCTTTAAAATGCCATGTGGTAAAAGTAGGACTTGAAAAGTAGTTTATCCATAAATGAATAGAACGTAAGCCTTCCTCGACATTTTCAGCCCTTTTCCTTTATTTTTTGACAATTAGCGCTAGCTTCTCAATGAAAGTCCCGGATATGTCGCTAAATTCTGGGCGATACGCTCTTAAAAACGTTTGCTCATGATGGCTACCTGGTTATAAATCATGACTAAAGAGTTTCTGTTGAAAAGATTGGTTGTTTCAGTTTCCATATTTGTTTGCTTGTTTGCTTTCAGTATTTTACTTCAGCCGCCGCCAACATAAGTGGGAATCATGTCAATAGCTTGACAGAAAACGACCATTAAACCCACAATAGCGTTCAGTCCATTAGAGTCATTAGAGAAACGCTGGAGGGCTCAATGTTTAAATTTACAAACCTTAGCCAAGAAGATGTTACAAGAGCGCTCGAGACACTCAAGCCGAAGAAATCCTGTGGCTGGGATCCAGGGTCACCGCCCAAGTTTTTGTGGAAGCTTGCAAAAGGGATTGCACCATCTCTGACTAGTCTATATAATGATTGCATTAAATGTAGCAAATGGCCGACTCACTGGAAAATGGGCGAATGGACGCCTGCCTTCAAGAATGGTAATACTCAGGATGTCAAGAATTACAGACCGATAGCTTCCCTAATAACTGTTGGAAAAGTGTTTAAACAGTTGTTAAGTAAACAAGTGTCTGAAAAACTTGACCACATCCTTTTCAGCCGAAGTACTGCATACAGAAAAGGATATAGTTGAGAGACGACACTACTATCTCTGATGGAGGAATGGAAACAATCAATAGATAAGGAGTTGGCATGTACTCTATTGACCGATAGGAGCAAGGCGTTCGACTCCCTCAGCCGTTCATTGACCCTGAAAAAGCTAGAGGCTTACGGCTTTGAGCCAAAAGCATTAGACCTCATGAGGTCATTTTTCAACAATCGAAAAAATAGCGTAAGAATTGGAAATACGAAAAGCAGCTGGAAGCATTTGAGTAGAGGGTATCCTCAGCGGTCCTCTTTCGGCCCCCTGCTGTGGAACATATTTCAGAATGACCTGCCCTGCGCTATAACTTCTGCTAACTTATGCATGTACGCTGACGACCACTAAATGTACACCTCAGGAACTGATTATAAAATCTTAAGGGAAACCTTCGAGCAGAATGGACAACGAGCCGCGTCTTGGTACAGAGATAATTACCTATTAGCAAATGCTGATAAATTCCAAGCAATGATTCTTTATCCTAGAAATATTGACGTTGACAGACAATTTACCGATATCTGTATAGATGGAAAGGTCATAACTGACACAGATCATATCAAAATACTCGACGTCCACATCGACAACAGAATAAACTTTAGTGATCACATCAGTGAATTGTGTAAGAGAGCAAGCAAGAAAGTGGGAGTCTTTATGCGCCTACGTAATCTCATTCCATGTCCAGCTAAGTTGACCATCTATAAGTCTTATATCCTACCCTACCTTACTTATCGTTACTTAATATGGCATTTTTTCAAGACTTTTGACCGCAGGAAAATTGAACGCCTTCAAGAACGCGCGTTAAGAGCAGTGTATAGAACAAAGTCAGATGCCTATGAGACACTGCTCGAAAGATCACGATTACCTACACTGTATAATCGTAGACCTCAAGACATTGCTATCCGTATGTATAAAGTTAAGTACAATTTTTCCCCCACCAATGTTGCCGAAATTTTTAGCTTAAAAGTTCCAGCTACAATCTGAGAAAGAAAGACTTTAATCTACCTCGATTCAATACTATTAACTGTGGGAAACATTCAATATGTTATTATTTCGGACCTGCGCTATGGAACAGACTTAACAATCTGGTCAAACAATCACCTAGCCTCCAGTCGTTTAAAACCACCATAAGTAAATTAGACTTTGCGAGTATTTTAGATAATAATGGTGACTGCTGCAATCTCTGCAGGTCGTGATATTTATGTTAGTTTTTTAGATTTTAGAATTTATATCGTTGATTGATTAATAATCGTTGATTAGATTAGTGTCCCCAATTAGCTTGTGCTTGTACAGCTAAATAATTTAACACTTAAATAAAGTTTTCATTATTATTATTATTATTTATATATTTTTGGAGTAAGAGTGTCATTTCCCTTCTTCCTATATATATATATATATAACTGTAAATATATATAATATGTAATATATATGTAATATATATAATATATAATATGTAATATATAATAATATATAAT